TGGTTCCCTGTAGGCGGGAGGTGCAGGACTACGTCCCCCCGCAGCTCTTCCGCCTGCTGAAGGCCCAATCCTGGCTCCACATGGTGACACAGCACATGGAGCAAGCCCAGGCGCTCAGTGCCCACCAGGCCAGAGCACAGTTCCTGGGTGAGTGGGGAAGGGACATCCACGGGGAGGAGATGCTAATGAGGATGCAGTGCTGATGGAGATTGAATGTTGCTGGGGATTCAATGCTGATTGTGTCCTCCTGACGAGGACCCAGTGTGGCTGGGGATGTGATGCTAAGGAAGATGAGCTGCTGCTGGTTGGCTTCTCCATGGAGCAGCTGGGACAGGCAGACCTGCCCCCCCCTCCTGGGCCAGCAGGACATTGCATATGGGAGACAGGACCGTGGTGGCAGGGCAGGGTCAGCTGTTCTCCAGCTCCACACTCAGCCACCCACTTCTGAGCCCCTTGGCTGCTCCAGGCTCCAATCCTGCTCCTGATCCAGTGTCTGAAGTGGTGCAAGACCCTAGGAGCTGACCCAGCTCCTGCCAGGCTGACTGGGACCCTCAGTTGAGCCCCTATGGGTGTGAGTCCCCTATGGGCCCTGGGCAGGAGGGGGTGGCAATGGGTGCTGAGCCCCTGTCCTCCACCTGCAGGGCTGCTCAGTGCCTGCCCCATGTTTGGCTCGTCCTTCTTCTACATCCAGAGCTGCAGCAACAACGCCATCGTCTCGCCCTGCATTCTGGCTGTCAACCAGAATGGCCTCAACTTCCTCAGCAAGGAGACCCACGTAGGTGGGAGGGCTGCGAGGGTCCCACGGGCACAACTGGGACACTGTGAGATGTGACAGCAGGTGGGGGGTGACATCCCTCTTCCACAGGGTACAAAGTGCTTGGGTTTGTCCAAGTCTGCGGGCCAATCATGGGATCATGGAATCCCAGACTGGTTTGGGTTGGAAAAGACCTTCAAGATCATCTAGTTCCAACCCCCCTGCATGGGCAGGGACACCTCCCACCAGCCCAGGCTGCTCCAAGCCCCATCCAACCTGCCCTTCAACACTGCCAGGGATGGGGCAGCCACAGCTTCTCTGGGCACCCTGGGCCAGGCTCTCACCACCCTCACAGGAATAAGTTTCTAATACCCAATCTGTATTTCCCAATTTTCAGCTTAAAACCATTTCCCCCTCATCCTATCACTCCATGCCCTTGCCAAAAGTCCCTGGAAGGTGCTCTAAGGTCCCCCTGGAGCCTTCTCTTCTCCAGGCTGAACAGCCCCAGTTCTCTCAGCTCCAACCCACCCTCCCTGCTCCCCTGCCCACACCCCACTCTGGTCCTTGGTCCCCCTCGGCGAGGTCCCCAGGTCACCCCCCGCCTGTCCCTCCCACCCCGTCCCCAGGAGCCCATCGCCAAGTTCTCGCTGAAGGAGATCCAGTCAACGCGGACGCAGCGCCCGGCTCCCGGCTCCAGCTCCCCCTACGTGGAGATCACGCTGGGCGACCTCCTGTCGCAGGGCATCACTCAGCTGCAGCTGGAGCAGGTAGGGGACACTGCGTGGGGGGGTGTCCCCGCGGTGGTGGCACCGTCCCCCCACACAGCCTGTGTGTGTCCCCCCACTCCCCGGGTAGGGCCTGGAGCTGTGCCGCGTGGTGGCCGCGCACATGGAGAGGCTG